ATTACATAGAAATCAACGGTGACGGCAGCAACGGCAGTGGTGTTTGAGCTTGGGTGGTGGTAGTGATGTTCGAGCTTGGTCGTGAAGTTTGGGGGGAGTCGAAAGAGGCAGGGACAGTGGAGCCTGGTGGTGACGGCTATCGAGACTAGCAAATAATTAGTTCTAACTGTCTTAAATCAGAACATTTATTGTAATAGTGGTAAGTCAGTCAAATCAACAAGGACTGGACATGACTATTATTTAACTTTTGCACTTTAAGTAAAAGGGGTGGAAGCCCAAACTGACTTAGTTGTCAAGAAACTCTGACAACCTCGATTTTCCCTTAGATATACATTGATTAAGACAAGCTCTTTCATCAAATCTTAACCCTAAATGGGAATTTGAACAAGCTCTCAAATTTACAGGTGTGGTCAGCATCAACGAGTTAGTAAAATCACCAATTTGAAGCAATAAGCTCACAAGCTCAGCTTATTAGAGCATCTATTACAAGAATTTAAGATTTCAAATTGAAAACCTTATTGAGACGAAATGATTTCAGACGCCACTTTATAAAAATACCTAAACAATTACATATCTGGGGTTTTGAATAGCTATTTTCCAAAAGAACGTCAATTAATTGATCTGATTAACTGATAACTCAAATGAAAAATGACATTCATATAGAAATGAAGCAGATAAACTTGTTCACAACATCTTATAAAGGAATCTCAAATGAAATACATCAACAATATAAAGTTTGACTATTGTTGGAAATAAAAACGAGTTACCGACTAAATTAAACGGAGTGGAGATGGTAGAAATCGCTTCAAATATTCTCTTGCTCCCCAAAATCGTCCCAAGGTCAAATCTCCCTCAAACGACGGTTTCCAAGTCAATTTATACCAAAAAGATGGAAAAACTGCTCAAAATTCGAAAATTGGCAAATTTGGTCTCTGAAGGGAAAATATGCTACCCTGGCATGGTAGGGTAACATGTCAGGGTAGCATTTCATGTACCGTAACTTCATACTCCATTATGAGACCTTCTACCCTGGCATGGAAGGGTAGTATGTCAGGGTAACATTTTCCTCTATTTTGCCTTTCTTTGACTACTTGTTTGCACAACCCTATTAAGCACAACAATCATTTTTCTTCACATTTTCTCGTCCGTTTCTTGCACTAGTCAACATTAAACTTGGAATAGGCTTATAAAAACATAATCTATGCCTTGAGCTTATAAACACATAATAGAACATAAAAATTTTGATGCCATCAACCGGTTAACTACTGTTGGTGGTGGCGGCGGCGGTGGTGGGGGGCGACGGGCGACGTTGGCTGGGTTGGGTGGCCAGCAGGGGTCAAGGGAGGCGGGGGCAGGTGTCATGGTCGAGGGGCGGAG